TCGTCGTATTTTTACAGACTATAAAATACGAAATGGTTATATCTCAGTCAATGAACGTAAGACTTCTTGTACCACGATTACTAATTTGAATACTACATATCTAAATGAAAAAAGGTTTATATATATATTGTCACGACAAATGTTTTACATGTTTACAAAATATGCATGAAGCACGTTGTAAAATATTCTTGAAGGAAAAGGCCTATAGCACCTTGTTTTCTTACCTTTCCCTTCTTATCTCCTGAAAATTCGCCTCATATATGAAGCAAACGAACAAATAATCTTTTATACTCGTATTGACAAAGTGCCTCCAATATGGCTGATAACTGCTGAGAAGTTTACTTCGATTTTCTAACGACACACAACTCTTTTGTTGTCTTTGCTTTTTGGCTGTATAAGGCATAAGAAAGAATGCTTGGGTGTGGATGCTCTGTTGGTAGGAGTTATTGAAGCGAATACTACACTGACATCCACACCCACATCCCACACTCTTATGATTATATATACTGTTAAAAGCTGTCTCATAGGTTTTTTTTCTGTTCTTTCTTGTCTTTTCAGTACATTGAATAATATCAATAGCAGTTGATGATAAAACATATATAAGCGCAATATTTTCGACTTTTTTATTACTACCTTCTGCTAACAAATGGATGTATCAACATTACAAACGCATGCGAAAAACACTAAGAAAGATGAAGTAATATACTGTTACGGTTGTGAGGAACGATTAGAAGAAAATCATTTCGGTGAAATAAATTCGTTTATGTAATATTGTTGTGTATTGAAGATTTCTTGAATTAGGTATCAGATGTGCTCAAAGTCATCATTTGTGTATGGACTGTTCAAAATCTATGGTTTCATTATTTCTTGCTGAACCAAAAACAAATCTTCCACCAAAATGCATGGTTAGATTAGATGCTTATTACTATCTGTTGGTTGGAAAATTTTCCATTTTTATCATAGATATGTAAAGTAGCACTTAATTCATCAGTATTTGAGCGACAGCTTTCACCACAAGATTATGAAAGATATACAAGGATAATGTTGAGTCTTTTATGGTACAAAGATTGTATGAAAGATAATGAAGAACTTGTTCATTGTGGTAAGAGTATCTGAAAATATATAATATTTACTCTAAATATGTTACATCGATAGGATTTTGCTCATATACAGAAATTCAAGTTAAATCGTTTGGTTCTCAGTTTATGTTTTGTAAACACAAAGGCTGTAAAAAAGTGTGAGTCATGAAAATATTTATTAAAAAAACAAGCATGTTTAATAGTTTCATTTAGTTCATGTCTCGTTTGTTTACATGAAGTACCAAAACTAGCAGAAGATTATGATGCAGATGAGGATGATGAATACGAAGAAAATATGGTGAAAAAAAAAATATTTGCGAAGGATTTTTATCTTGTGAATAATTTTAGGAAAAGATTGAAAAACATTTTAAATGTGCAGAACTTAAAGAATCAAAGAATATTTTTGATAAAGCTATGGAAAATGGACAACAAGTAGCTTGTCCTGTTTGTGGCTTAGCTGGTAAGACAAAAATCTGTAATAAATAATTTCCGCTTTGTCATTTTCTAGGAATGAAGGTAGTTATTTTGTTCTGGCAGTTGTTGCCTGCACATGATATATCTATATAGTTATTGAAACGTATTTAGGATGATGCATGTACACACATGACATGTCCTGATTGTCAAACAGTTTGGTGTTATTTTTGTGGTCTTGCAGAATCAGCTTGTGATAAAAGTGAAGACGATGATGATTTAGATGAAACAGCAGCCGCTATATATCGGCATAATACTGATTGGGAAATAAATCCACAACGGTTAGTTAATTGAATTAAAAATAGCAAAAAGAAAATTTAGCTGATATTTGTTTTTAGTTGTCCAATGTATCTTACTGCTCTTCAAGATATTGATAAAAGTTGGTCAAATGATGAACATGAATGTCTTGAAAAGTTTCATAGAATCCGTTCACTTAAATATCTTCATCAAGCATATGAACAATTAGGAGCAAATGTATTTGAACAACTTGAAAAACAATTTGGCATTATTAGTACATGTGGTTTTACATTAGACGATATTAAAGATGGCGATTTACAACTAATTGATTATGGTTTGTTAAATGAAATATAAAAGAGGAAAAATGATCTACACCTTTTTTTATTTAAACAACTATGATTCAGAAGAAGAATAAATTACTTAGTCCATATGAATGCGATATTATGACATCGAGATTTCATATTTAATCTATATGTATATATATATATATATATACATAAAGATTTTCTTGAAACATTTTTTTCATGAAGTGCAATGTCCTCTATTTGTTTAAAATTAGCATGTGGGTGTGGGTAGGTATGGAAGTAGGAGGTGGGTATGGGTGTGTGCATGAATTCTCTCCACACCCACCCTTATTCTATTGGAATTGTATCTTAAAGAAAATGCCAGGAGTGGCTCCAAATAGTTCTGCATTTCGGGTGTGGATGTGGGGTATGGGTGTGGTTGGGTGTGGGTGTAGGTGGCTGTGGGTGCTCTGTTGGTAGGAGTTATTGAAGCGAATACTACACCGACACCCACACCCAATAAGATGCTTTTTGGAACAGGAAACATTTGATTTGGATGACACATGTTTCGCAAAAATTTCCCCATTTTTTAATACTGCTATGTGTCGAAACAGATTTGATAATGTTGAAATGTTCTGTTTTTAACTATTCGTCTTAGTTGAATAACTGCAGAGAATGTTTGAGATGTTTGTTATTATCTGCCTGCTTTGGGAAAAAATGTGATATTTGTAATCAGCACACTTGGCTCTATCGAACAATATAGACGTATAGCAGAAAGATGATAAAAAAAAGATTTCCGATTCCTGAGGGAGACCACAGTAACGAAAAAAATGAGCTGCGGTAGAGTGTAAAGTAAACTTGTGAAACATAGTTAGGAATAAATGCTGATTCTTAGGATAATAAAATTAGATTAAGATTTTTTTGGATCATTGGGTCCATCATATGGCACATCCTATTTCAAGAACTGCTACAATTATTGTTTTACGTTAAGCAAATCATCTTGTGGCCCAATTCAATAGTGTATCGAATGACATAAAACTCAATTGTTTTCATGTAGCCATTTAGTGCATAAATGAAGCGATACTTTTCTAAGTACAGGTTTCTGGTGAAATCGTAAAGTTCGTTTTTCAAGCTCTTGAAGTTGATAATATTGAGCAGACTGTTTTCTTTTTAGATTTTTGTAGCTTGTAACATGAAGAAAATGTATATTTAATGCATCATCATTCTTTCTATTCTGAATTTCAAGCTTCATTTTAATAAATTACTTCATTTCAGCAATAGAACTAAGAGTCGTAGTTGCAGATCCTATTTTTATTTTTGAACACTTTTTCTTATCTGATAATGTTGATTGTTCTTGTTCTGACAAATTTTGAAAGACAACATGTCAAAGAAGGGAGATGCGTAAAAGGTTGACATCGACCAGTTCTTATTTTCTGAAAGTCTTATATACAGTTTGATGCAGAAGTGAAAGCCAAATCTTGCCGGATCAGTGTCAAGTCGATTCGATCATATCTAGGATAACTTCAATCAAAATTACCGATAATTTTCATTCATCTCAAAACTTGGATAGCGTTTTTGCCAATCTTCTGTTGATAAAGTTCTATTAATATCGGGTTAGTCTCAATGAAAATAGCGTGATAATCTACCTCGACACTCTTATTAATATGCGATACAACAGTTTTCCCAATATGTCAAACCTTATGAGACCATGCTGCCGACTTCTAATTCAAACGAATTTTTCATATTGCAAAGAGCAATGTCTAAAGTGTGAATGTGCTACCGAACATAACTTTTCACGAGGAATCTGGAAAGGAAAAGACAGGCCAAAAAGCAAACTTCTCTAAAGAAAAATATCATGCAACTTCAGCATATAGCAAAAATCATATTCTTCCAATGGTATATTGTAATACTAAATGTGGTTTTCGTTTTTAGATCAAAATACCTTTGTTTCTTTGTAATTACAAAGACTTCACAATTTGATACTTCTCACTATTTGACCGTTTTGCAGGAATAAGAGATTTTTTCAAATTATATTTTTTACGTTTCTACGATCTAACATATTGCGAGTAAATAATGCAAAAAATATCGAGCTCACGTATCATTTCTGGGAATTATAGTGTAGAGTGATATTTTTTTCCACAACAGGATAATTTTGAACAATGTCAATGGTCAAATCTTTGGATTTTGCAGCCAAGAACGGATCTGAAAATTTTCAACATGACTGATGCTCTAAAGTTTCAAGTAATTTTTGTCTAAATTTGATTCATAGAGTCTTGCAGTTTGCAAATATTTATATTTAAAGAAATTTGATTATTGATTTTTATAAGATTTCGTAAAAAATTCATAGTTCAAACATTTCTCTTTTCAACACGATAAATTGATGAAATTTAAATCGGTAACGTAAAAGTCTAGGTAACAACTTTTGCTTATCAAAAAGCATTCTTTCAGTTCAATTCAACATTTTTTCTTCAAATCCACAATTTTATCGACTGATTTGAACTTTTGGATTAAAAACTACTGTTTGTTCATTAATAAATTATGGTTTTCATCGTTCTAATCAATCTATCACATCCCTACACAGTTTTTATTAGAACTAGTCGGGCGTATTGTACATATCGCAATATTATCTTGACGAATATCTGAAATTAAACAGGACACTATCTGCAATGCAATTCCATTTAGTATGAATATGATTGTCTTAAGATAGACTGTTCATAACGATGTTTGAACCAAAGGAATGCAGATTGATAGTTATGATTAGAAAATACTAAGTACCACTTGTGATACAAAATGTGAAACCCAATGTGCAACATTTCGATAGGTTTGGACTGTAATAGTAGAGCCATTTTTGATTACTTCCAAGAAGAGGTCGAAAAAAACATTATTTTCTTTTTTACTCGATGCCATTCTTTACTTTGAAATAAAAATAAACAGTTTCTCTGAGATGAAGATTATTTCCTCTGTCAGATTTGACATGTTTCTTAATTGAAAAACTTCAATGAAACATTTTCTATATTCACTTTGCTGTTGTTCATGCATACGTTATTGTTATCTGCGCTTGTCAATTCATCGTTTTGGCTTCAGATAATGTGATGATTGACTTCATCAGCAGCCTAGTCATTCTTTATCATATTGTTCAAAAGTTCGGAACTAATGATTGACAACTATTAACCACGAACAGCGATTAGACAAGAAAGGGATCATACTTTTATTTAAAAACGTACAACTACATAGATAATTATGTCTGGCACAATTCAATATTTGGTTTTACAATTGTGAATAGTTTATGTGAAATGTTCAGTTTCAATAGACAGAAAGCAGGTTCTATTATTATAAATAGTAAATTTGTTCAATTATGTGCGGCTGATAGCAGGAAATGTTTGAACGGTTTGAACATCTTGCATCGGATGCACTTGAGTGTCAGTCGGACGTCGAAATGCTTTTTTCATTAGCCGTTCAAGTTCCTTTCTGTATGCTTGTGCTGATAAAACATACAAGATGATGGGCATGGTGAATGATAAATAAGAAGAAAACACTGTCATATTATAAATGAAGTAATACTGAAATGGACTCAACGGTTTAACTGGCAGATATGCGATCAAATACATTATGCACACCGGTGTACAAAGTACAATATGAGTGCTGACTTGAAGGAGAAGCATACGTAAAAGTTGATTTTCAGTGCGACGGAATCGTGAGATTGTGTTTGGAAGAATACGAATTTTCTTCGTATTGTATATTGTTAAAAGGCCAAAAATTATCATGAGAGAGGGTGCAGTGACAGCAAAAAGAATGACTTCAATAATTGGAAACAAACGAGTATAGAATGTGGTAACTTGAATACTACACGAAAATGTTGGACCTGGATGCAAATCGATCAATATTGGTACGCTACTGTAAAGCAGCATAAAAAAGCGAAAATACCCAAGATCGCCCATCGAGCCACTATCAAATTGCTGAATTTGCGCATCTTAGCATTTGACGAACTGGCGAAAAATCGGTCGATTGAGGCGAGTACAATCAAGTGAGGAGAAATGGGAGGGCATGTATGAACCATGTATTGAGAGATCTTGCATGTGAAAGAAGAGATAGTTGCAAAATCGAGACGGTAGCCAATGGCCAAGAGACGATAGCGGAGAAAGACGATTGAGTAGAAAAGATTGTTACCGGAAAGTGCAAGAAAATAACGCGAACTTGCGTGATTGTATAAGGCAGGTCTTGTTAGCACAGCAATGTTCAAAGAGTTGCCTACAATACCAAATACCATGATTACGGGCACGATTGCTCGAACCAATTCAGCGGTCAACAGCACGAGTGATTCGCTCATTGTATCTTGAATGTTGTTCTACGCATGACTGTTCGATTGGCTTACTTTTACACCATCTTTTCTCATTACCCATTTTNATATGATTGTCTTAAGATAGGCTGTTCATAACAATGTTTGAACCAAATGAATGTAGATTGATGATTACGGTTAGGAAATACTAAGAACCATTTGTGATACAAAATTTGAAACCCAATATGCAAAATTTCGATTTGATTTAGGCTGTAATAGTAGGACCACTTTTGATTACTCATAAGAAGAGGTCCAAAAAGCATTATTTTCTTTTCTATTGGATGCGATTCTTTACTTTGAAATAAAAATAAACAGCTTCTCTTAGATGAAGATTATTTCCTCTGTCAGATTTGACATAGTTTTTAATTGAAAAACTTCAATGAAACATTTTTCTTCATTCAATTCACTGCTGTTCATACATACGGTGTTGTTTTCTGCCCTTGCCAATTCCTCGTTTTGGCTTCAAATAATGTGATGATTGACTTTACCAGCAGAGCCTAGTCATTTTTTAATCATATCGTTCAAAAAGCTGGGAACTAATGATTAACAATTATTAACCACAAACAACGATTAGACAAGAAAAAGATCATACTTTGATTTAAAAACGTACAACTAGATAATTCTGTCTAGCACAATGCAATATTTGGTTTTACAATTGTTAATAGTTTATGTGAAATGTTCAGTTTCAATAGACAGAAAGCAAGTTCTATTATTGTAAATAGTACATTTGTTCA